CGGGGCGGGAGGCCGTCTCGCTGCGCCCGCGCGCCCGGCACCCGGAGCGGCGGTGCCCCTCATCTCGGGCCCCTCAGCGCGGTCGCCCACACCCCCGACCGGGGGCCCCCTCTGCGCCAACCCGGGCCCACATAGGTCCCAGGGGACGAAAACTCTCCCGGGACCCGATACCTGGGTCTGGGGGACCCGAAGAAACCCCATCGGCCCCCTCCCTTCCGAAACCTGGAGACGCAGCCTTGAGGGTCCCCCACACCGACCCCCAGGCTCCCTGGAGACCCAGATAACGCGCTCCTGACCTTACCAGGGACCCGGGGCTGGGGGACGCAGATAAGCTGCACCTGCTCCCTCTCGGACACGCCTACCCGGACCCACACAACCCCCTTTCCTGCTCCGCGTAGTCCCTCTGTTTCATCCTCCAGAGCCGCATAACCCCTTTTGAAGCCTCCCTCAGATAGCTGGTTCTGGGGAACCCCAATAAACCCTCGCTCTACTTCTCTTCTTAGTGACTATACTCCCAAACCTTAGACGTCTTCTCTCCGGATACCCATTTTGAGATTGTCTTGAAATTCAGGGGATTCGCTTCTATCTTCAACTCCTGGAATCCTCTGGCCCTTATAATCCCCCTATCTCTTTTGGGGGGGTCCCCTAGAGACCCCCCGTGATTCCTTACCTCGGTTCCTTAACTCGCTCTTGATTCCTTACCCTGCTTGCCCTTCCTTCCATCCCCGAGGTCTCCTCCAGACTTCTCCCGGAGTTTCTGTCCCTTCTCCGACAGCCGTCCACTCCCATCTCTCCCTACCCCAGGGGAGTTGAACCTTTCCCACCACACAGTGGGGTGCTCTAGAAGCTGCCGGAGGAGCCAGGCTGTTTCCTGCAAATCCAGTCCCACACCACCGCCCCAGCTTGGTGGGGGAAAGGGACCTGTAAGGTGGAAGATAAGGGACAACTGGTGTGAAGGAGTTGTTGGTGCTGACACCTGCAAGTGTAGCGTGTCTCCTGGCTTGTGTGTTTTTCCACCTGTCAGCTTGGGACTGTGATCGAGTCTGGCCTTGGGTTTCTAACCCTCCCCCCCAAGGTGAGGCCACCAGATTGGCATGGCGATCTAATCAGCTTTCCTTTTCGTGAAGATGGGGCTGTAGTGAGTTGCAGCCATTTGCCCAAGCCCTGGTCAGGAGTGGGAGGCAGCGGGAATCAGAGGAAATAGTGAATTAAAGGGACTCCAAAGAGGGCCCGTCTATACTGACAGAAGAACTAGCAGCCCGCGAGTAAATCCAACCCCTGTTAATCCTGTTTGATGTCTCCTGGAATGATGCAAGTCATTGAGACTCTCCAGCCTCCCTGTAATTTAATTCTCCCACCGCTCTAGAGTGTGTGAGAGGGGCAGCTATTCCCATTCCCCTCTTTCCTTCTCACTGTTTTCCAGCCGGTCAGTGTGTCTTTTGGATTTGTTTCTGGTGCCCAGGTCAGGATCTGTTTTTTTTCCCTAAGTCTATATATAATTTCCCAGTTGCTATTCTGGGTGCTGCTTAAGGGAAGATTCTGTCCACCCCAAGGAACGTTCCCGGCTGTGTTTCCTCCTCGGCAGGTGTTGAATTGAGTTCTTCAGATCCCCAAGTAGCTCTTGGGCAGGAGGGATAAAAGCTATTTTAGGGCAGTCACTGAAGTGGAGCTGTTAATCCTCTGTGGGTCTCTCTAGTTAAGAACACTTGGAGATTAACCCTTTCCTTGCTGCAGGGAGGCTACTTCTCAACAGTTTTTTGGGAGGGTTGGGAGAATTCAAGTGGCAGCAGAAGGTGGGAACATGCAAGTCAATACAAAGGCAGAGATAATAGCTGCCTTTTGTTGGGTACTTACAGCAAGCCAAGCCCTATACTGAACCCTTTGCATACCTGACTAAAATAATCCTTACAACAAGCCTGTGAGGTAAGTATTTTTAGCTTTACAGATGAGGAAACAGGCTAATAATGGAGAAAGAACGCAGTTTCTATAGAGATGATGTAACACCATAAAAACTATAGTTTCATCAGAGGGCAGTAGGCGTCATGGCACACAACAGAGGACAGGCAGACTAGGGAGCAGTTTGTCTCCTCTCAGCTTCCAAAGAGGGCCGTACAGAGTTTTTAACCAGCATTTGTATTTGGGGTATGGAGCCTTAATGGAAGAGATTCCTAAAGTGGGAGAACTCTGGCCCCGGATGTGGTGCTGGAGGAAGGTAAAGTAAGGAGGACTGGTTAGAGAGGATGTACTGAGGGTTAATTGTGAGGAAAAAGGGGAAGGCTGCATTCTGGGGAGATCTTGGGAAGGGAAGGAAACTCACTCCGCGGCCTGAGAAGTAACATTAAAGGGGAAAAAAAAGTACTACTCCGGCACCGTGCGGAAAAGAGGCAGACACAATTTAGACCTTAGAGACGGCACTGCGTGTATTCACACATTTTATATCAGACACTTTGAAGAGTGTTGTTTCACTTAGTTGTCCATGAGAATATTATAGGCAAGGAGAATAAATCTCTATTTTAGAAATTGAGGAAACTGAGTTTCAGAGAAACAAAGTAACCTGCCCATGGTTTCACAGCCAGTACGTGGCAGCTCTTCTGATAGCAAGTCCAAGGTTCTTTTCCACACTACCTCCTTAAGATTAGGCGCCAGAAGGAATCTCAGGATGAAAATATACTGAGTTATACCAGTAACTGGGAGGGCTTGATTGTTTGTTTTATGGGAACAGGTTCTGTCAGCTTCTCTATAGTTGTTAAGGTTAGTGTGAGACCAGCAGAGCAGCTTTGAAAGAAGCAGAATTCTTTCACAGTTTTGTTGAGGAGGAAGTCTGAGGGAACAGACCTGATAATGTGAGAGAAACCCAGGCATCTACCTGGATGAGAGGAGTTTGCAGACAAAGGACAGAAGAAGAGAGACCAGATTCCCAAAAGGGTTCCTAAGGTAACACTGGCAGCTTTGGTTATCCAGCAGCCTGTTGGTGACTGTAGGTAAGGATTTCTGCTGTGCCTTTTTAAAAGCATGAGGTGAATAGGATCAGGGTGTTGGCTGTTTTCTTTTTAAAGCCATAGCCACATTAAATGCAGATCAGGGCAAGCACATGGCTGCTGCCCTCCTGCTTTGGTTCTATCAGTACAACCTCGCGAGCTCTTCTTAGCCACCACCGGCCTCTTTCCTAGAAGCCCATTACTCACTCTTTCAGTAGCAGCATACTAAACTGCTGTGTCTTGTTTGTGCTTGTTCAGGAGAACAGATGAGGTGGACGTGTGGGAGGTGGGGGACGTACCATTCTCTTTCTGAGTTTGTGCGGAATTTCCAGGGCCATACTCCCCTCTTACATCAGCCAAAGTGATGTGATTTGCTTCCGTCTGGCTGCCATTCCCCATTTTCCAGAGGCTCAGGTGCATGATTTCAGATATCAAGGGAGAGCAGAATTTGACTTTGAAGGTAGGGGAAATTCCCTCCAAACTAGACATTCAAACTCGTGCTTGCTCTCTACCGAATTCCAAGGTGCATAGTAATCACTGGTGTTATAAACAGGTAATTCCACCCTTGCAAAGAAGGAGGGGGCTTAAACAATGAAAGCCAGACGTCAGAGGCCTTTGAGGTTTATAGTGAAGCAGGCAAATATGCCATGGTGACTCGAAGGCTCAAGTGGAACTAGTGTTTAGTGCTGCCTACCCCTTCCCAGCATGTGACTCATGCAAAATGCAGCCACCTTTGTGCAGATCTTTATAGGCAAATCTCCACTTGTGATGGGGAAATGTTTATCATATTACATTGCAATGCTTCTTCAACAAGAGGAATGGTTCCTGAACAGGAGGTAGCTCACGTTAATGATGAGTAAAGCTCTCTGGGGCATGAACCCGCTGATCCCATCATCTCGTTCACAGCCAGTCCGTTGGATGAATGGTCACTGTAAGCAGCAGGTGCTAATGAGCTGAGCAAGCATTCTGTGGCCCACAGCTAGTTTGTGCAGTTGGAGCCCTCCCCAGATTCTCGTGGACAATCCCCAGATACCCCCTTTGCTCCCTTCACGTGGAAAAGCCTCATGACCAAATTTTGGCATGACCTCTTCAAAGGGAATCCCCCTGTTTTAGCAAGTTGCATTGCTGTTGGTAATCTGTGATGAGCTTGTGAGTGTGAATGTGGGTCTTTTGTCCCACTCTTGAGAGTCAGTATGGTAACTCCCATCCTCTCTTCCTCTGAGTTGATGTCAGGAAAGAAGTTGTGTCGTCTTTGCTCTAGCCTCCCTGCCGCCCCAAGAGAAAGGATCAGACTTCAAGATGTTGGCTCCTCACTTTGGAAGGGCTGTGAACCCAGTTTAAACCAGACCTTCCTGAGCATAAGTTAGCCTATGAGAATCAGCTTGCATTCAGTGACTAATGTACTTGTCTAAAAGAAAGTTGAGAGTCCTCTTCTAGATGCTAGGTGTGTGGAGATAAAGAGAGATGATCTGAGCCCTCAACGAATCAGAGTTTGGTGGAGGAGACTAAGTTCTAATGCAAGTGTGTTACCTGCTCATAATGGAGGAATGCATGTGTGCCATGAGGGTCTGTAGTAGGGGCCACTCAACGCCTTGAGGTGTTGGACAGGCTTTGCTAAAGAAGCATGGTCTGGGCCCCAAAACCCAGAGAGGTAGTGGAGGGCAGGATGGGACCAGTACTGGTCTAGGGGAAATGCTGAGTCTGCTGTTGCCTCCTCAGACAGAACCTCTTGATGTTGGTGCACTGGTAAGAAACACATCTGGCACAGGGCCTGACTTTCTAGGGTGTAAATTTCCTAAGTAAAGCCTTCTCTTTCCTTCTCCTTTGTTGCCTTTTGGGCATTTTATTGCTCCTTAGCACCTCCATGAGGAGGAGAACTGTGGAAAGTAGTGAGTGAGAGGGAGGTAGGGTAAAGGGGAGGAGGAGGAGCTGCTATGTCCAAATTTAGTGGAAAGGATGTAAAAGTGAAGTCAGAAGAGAAATTTTGGAGTTTAGGGCTTTTACTTCCTCAGATTATCTTGTTTCCTGTTAGCCTACGTAGTACTAGTATTAAAAGTTACCACTAAGCGCTTACTAGGTGCCCAGTCTTCTGGTGAATGCTTTATATTCATTATCTCATTTAATCCTCAAAACATCCTTATGATTTAGGAGATTATTAAGCCCATTTTGTAAATGAGGAAACAACTCAGGGAAGTAAGTAATTGGCTGCAAGTCACAAGGCTTCTAAGTGGAAGGGCTGGGATTGGAACGGGGATCTGTCTGCTTCCAGAGCCCATGTTTTCATGGTATGGGGCTCCCTAACACCAGGTGTTCTGATGTTTCAGGTGAAGAGATTGTTTTCTGAAGGCTGCGTTGAAGGCTGTGACAGAGAGAGAGCCCGTGTGGAGCTGATGGGGAGGCTTTCTGAATAACATGGCCCTTCGCCATTAGCCTTGCCATGACCACATTTTTCACCAGCGTTCCCCCCTGGATTCAAGATGCAAAGCAGGAGGAGGAAGTGGGCTGGAAACTAGTTCCCAGGCCTCGGGGCCGGGAGGCGGAGAGTCAAGTGAAATGCCAATGTGAAATCTCGGGGACACCCTTCTCAAATGGGGAGAAGCTGAGACCTCACAGCCTCCCCCATCCAGAGCAGAGACCGTATAGCTGCCCTCAGCTGCACTGTGGCAAGGCTTTTGCCTCCAAGTACAAGCTGTATAGGTAGGTGACACTCCTATACCTCTTCCTTCCCACAGGACAAAGCTAGAGAGACTCCACTGAGTGTGGGGCTTTTTCTGTGGCAGAAGAGTAGAGGTTAATTTGTCCCATAAGTATACCCTGAACACCAGCCATTTGAGGTCGCTCACTAAAAACTAATGGGGGTATTTTTTTATTCAGACACTACAATCTGATGGGTACAATATCAGACAAGCATGAACAAACTAGATTAAATGTTTTTTTTCAATACTATTTTTCCCTCACCCCTGTCAGGTAATGGTGAGAATCTTAGCCAGAAATTAGGAATGAGTCTTAGAACTTTAGAAGGAAAAGGAGACCCTCTGGTCCAATCTGTAAATTTTAAAGTGGTGGCTAAGAGTGGGGAAGTAACTTATCCAAGGTCACATAACTTCTTAGGTCCTGCATTGCCTCTTCTACTGAACCAGACTGCCACTCAGATGATTACTTCTGTCTCCATAGGATCCCTGGTGTTCTCTGCGTCAGTGGCTTTCCTGAAACTTGTAATCCCAAGAACCTCTACTTAAAGTGAAATGAAATGTGAAAGCCTTGGTGTAAAGCAGATATGGCAGAGCAGCTTTGAAGGGTGGTAGGCCTGCTCAGAAGCGATTTTGATTTTTTCCTTGCCCTTCCATCAGAGGAACATGTCCTTTACAAATGAGATAGTCTGCCTGATGCACAGTCCTTCATCTGTCCAACTGTGATTTATTGAGCTGCTGCTAATACCAGGCACAGTATTTGGTGCTAGGAACAGAGTAGTGAGCCAGACAGATGGGGTAGCTGGCCGTCTTTGAATTTACTGTCTTAATAGTGGGGCAGACGGTAAACAAGTAAATACGTGAACAAGATGACCACAGAAAACCTCAGTTCCTTGTCTGGAAGACAATTGATAGGAAGGAACTAAAACAGGTAACAGGGTAGTGTGTGACCAGGATTGCCCTCATGACAGTTCTGTGGTCCTCAGGAATGCTTTGATTCTGTGTACTCCTATGTCTTAGGTGGACTCCAGTTGGGGCCATCTTCTTAGACTTTCTTAGTGACAGTCTGGGTGTCAGTGGGAGGCTGCAGGAAAGGTCCTGGTCCAGGAGGCAGAAGCTCCCATTCCACCTATAGTCACTGTGTGATCTTAGGCAAGTTACTAAACCTCTTTGGGTCTCAGTTTCCTCACCTGCAGAATGAGGGAAATGGACTGTGGATCACTCAGCACCTCCCTCTCATATGTTATCACATCAGTTATTAACCAGCAGGTTAATAGTAACCCTCATAGGTGTGAGCACTCTTGAGCACTCACACGTAGCACGAGGGTAATATTGTCTGAAACTGTCCAGATAGAAAGGATCCTTGGGTGCTATACCAGAGACAGCGGTGGCATACCTAAGTGAACCCAGGTCTCAAGGAGGTCTGTGTGTAAATTCTCCCTCTGCCCCTTATTGGTGACGGGGCTGCCCTTCGGCCTCTTATGGGGAAGGTTAATGACATAGCTCACACAGGGCCCAGCAAGTGGTGGGCCCTCGAAGTCTTGCTGAGTTGGTTCTGAATGTATGAATGTATGCTCTGGATTGCAGTTCTGGACTCTTGAGCTGCTTTCCAACCAGATGGGAGCAGGTAAGGCACTGAGGTGCCATGCCATAGAAATGTTTTTTTAAATGTTGCTGGTTTGCAAACAATTTAAATGGTACAGATGGTCACGCAGTGAAAAATGAATTGTCCTCACACTCGAAGCTACTATTCTCCTCCCCAAAACAACGAGTGGGGTCATTTTATTGTGTATCCTTGTTGAGACATTCAAACATGTATTCCCTTCCCTTTTTATTTTCACAAGGGATTGTATTACACACACTATACTGAACTTCCTTTTTTGACTTAGTCCCTATATCTTGGGAGATTGTTCCAGATCAGGAAGTTTAGATGTATTTCATTTTCCCTTTATTGTGTTATTTAAGAAATTTTAAATATAATTTTTTGAAAAGGTAATATATTCACATAATTCAAAATTGTAAAGGTACCGAAAGGTATACCTTTTGAAAATTCTCCATCACACCCATAAGCTGCCCATTTCTTCTCCCCATAGGCAACCAGTATTGTGAGTTTCTTAACTATCCTTCCAGAAATATTGTAAGCACATACAAGCAATAATACATATATTTTTCGTCTTTTATATGCATAGTACCATTGTACATGCACTATTCTATCTCATTGCTTTTTCCACTTACTGTAATTTAGGAGCTTGTTCCCTGTGGGTACCTATAAAGCTGCCTTATTTTTTTAAAAGTTGAGTCATTTTATGGACTTACCATAATTTATTTAACCAGTTCCCTATTGATGGATATTTAGATTGTTTCTTATTTTTTGCTACTACAAAATACGCTGCAAAGAGCAGTACATATGTGATTTTGTAGGTGGGCAAGGATATCTATAGAATATAGTTGGTGGTATTCCATTTCATTCTATTGCGTGGCTCTACCATAATTTTTATATCTAGTTCCCTGTTAATGGACACCTCGGTTGTCTGGCCAGCCCTTGTGATCTCCCTTCTTTCTCCTCTATTCTTTATCCCTACCCCCAGGCACATGGCCACCCACTCAGCCCAGAAACCCCACCAGTGCATGTACTGTGATAAGATGTTTCACCGCAAGGACCATCTGCGGAACCACTTGCAGACCCACGACCCCAACAAAGAGGCCCTCCACTGTTCCGAGTGTGGTAAGAATTATAATACAAAGCTAGGCTACCGGCGCCACCTGGCCATGCATGCTGCCAGCAGCGGTGACCTCAGCTGCAAGGTGTGTCTGCAGACCTTTGAGAGTACCCAGGCCCTGCTAGAGCACCTAAAGGCCCACTCACGCCGGGTAGCAGGCGGTGCCAAGGAGAAGAAGCACCCCTGTGACCATTGCGACCGGCGGTTCTATACTCGTAAGGATGTGCGGCGGCACTTGGTGGTGCACACAGGCCGAAAGGACTTCCTGTGCCAGTACTGTGCCCAGCGATTTGGCCGCAAGGACCACTTGACGCGTCATGTCAAGAAGAGCCACTCGCAGGAGCTGCTCAAGATCAAGACAGAGCCAGTGGACATGTTAGGCCTACTCAGCTGCAGCTCCACAGTCAGCGTGAAGGAAGAGCTGAGCCCTGTGCTGTGCATGGCCTCTCGGGACGTGATGGGGGCCAAGGCCTTCCCTGGCATGTTGCCCATGGGCATGTATGGTGCCCACATCCCTACCATGCCCAGCGCGGGCGTGCCACACTCCCTGGTGCACAACACGCTGCCCATGGGTATGAGCTACCCTCTGGAATCCTCACCTATCTCTTCCCCACCTCAGCTTCCTCCAAAATACCAGCTTGGATCTACCTCATACTTGCCTGACAAATTGCCCAAAGTGGAGGTGGATAGTTTTCTGGCGGAGCTTCCTGGAAGTTTGTCTCTCTCATCCGCTGAACCCCAGCCCGCCTCACCTCAGCCGGCGGCAGCTGCGGCCCTCCTAGATGAAGCACTGCTCACCAAGAGCCCCGCCAACCTCTCTGAGGCCCTCTGCGCTGCTAATGTGGACTTCTCCCACTTACTGGGCTTTCTTCCACTCAACCTGCCCCCGTGTAACCCGCCCGGGGCCACAGGAGGCCTGGTCATGGGCTACTCCCAGGCCGAGGCACAGCCCTTGCTCACCACTTTGCAAGCTCAGCCTCAAGATTCCCCGGGACCTGGGGGACCGCTGAACTTCGGGCCTCTGCACTCCTTGCCTCCTGTCTTCACCTCTGGCCTGAGCACCACCACCCTGCCTCGTTTCCACCAGGCATTCCAGTAGTCCCCAAGGAGGCCCTCAGCTCAGTCTTGGGCTCTGTCAGGGAGCCTCAGTACCTACCCCATCTGCATCCCCCATGAAGGCAGCTGAGCTTTCAGAGCTGGGTTCAAAAAGAAAAAATTCCAGTATCTGTTTGGAGCACTTGGTTTGGGGGCTCAGGCTCCAGGATCAGTTCCAGGAGGAGCCTTGAGCCCCAACCCCATGAAAAGATCTCATACCATAGGACTTCAGGTATTTTTACTTTTATTTTTTAAATCTGAATCGGGAGCCACACTTAGCCCTCTCCATCTCCAAAGCATCAGCACCTCCTTTTCTTCGGAGAAGGGAGAGGTCTCTTGGAGACCCGGAGGGTTTCACTTTGGATGACCTCAAGAGAAATAGCCCAAGAAGCCTGCCTTCTGGTCCCAACCTGCAGACCCCACAGCAGTTGGTCAGACTTCCGGAGAGGGTCACTTGGCTCCATCTCCTGCTTCCAACCAATGGGCAAGAAAAAGAGCCTCTGTTCTTCCCCACTATCCCCCATCCCTCCTGTACCAACACCTCCATTTTCAGTCAGTGTTGTCCAGCAACGGTACCGTTTACACAGTCGCCTCAGACACATCATTTCACTTCCCTTGCCAAGCTGTTAGCCTTAGAATGATTGCAGTGAACATTGTTTACACACCATGAATCCATTCCCACCAGTCCATTCCAGTTGGCACCAGCCGGAACCATTTGGTACCTGGTGTTTACTGGAGCCCTGTTTACAAGGCGGAGTCGGATCTCGCTGACTTCTCTTCACTTGAGGTCACATTTTTCCCCTGTGGGGAAATAAACTGACTTTGGACTGCTTCAGTCTCTGCCATCTTCCATGACTGTGTCTGTTCTGCCTTCCTCAGCAGCGTCCACAGAAGGCAGGGAAGAAGATTGGAGCAGTTTTCTCACAGATCTGCAATTCTGTTTTTCTCCAAGTACATCATGGCCCCCTCATCCTCCTTTTGAACTGGAGAGGGGAAGAAATGAAAGGCATGCCCACTTCCATCACCTCCCTATTCCCTATCCCCTACCCTGAACATCATGAGCTGTTATCATTAGTCTTGGAAGGAGGGACTTTAGTTCTAGGCTGGTGTGGATAGCAAAGGAGAGGGTGTGAACCCGTCATTTGTCTTTCTCCTACCTGTTCCTTTTCCAGGAAATTGTGGAATTGTTGGAAGAAGAGTTTTCAGAAAGTTAGGACTGGGTGGACAGTTGAGTCCTGATCTGTGGGTACATCGTTGCCTCCCATACCAAACTTTTTTCTTATCCAGTGTCCCTCCTCTCTCCACTTTGCAGTCCCCACGGACTCAGGGACACTGTGCATAGGCTTCTCTGCCCTCCATCAAAAGACTTCCACCTTCCTTTTGTGGCCCCCCTCAGTTTTGCCCCCGGCACTCAGCAGCAAGGTTTCTTGCAACAAATGATTAGTTCTTTTCTGACTTGTGGGGCTCCCTGCCACAGACAGCAACAGGCCTTGCCCGGCTGAACTCCATCTCTTTCATCTCAGTTCTGCATAGGCTTCGCTCTTCCCACTTGTGGAAGGGAGGCAGCTCAGGGACCACTAATGTGGGACCCTCTTGAGACACTTCCACTCTGATTCAGAAACACACTTCTACCTCTTTACTGTTAACTCCTACAGATGCAGCCAGCAGTTTCTGGGCACTTCTCTCAGCGGGTGCCTCATGCTGGCTTCTCCACTAGGGTTTCAGGACAAACTACCAAGGAACTGCCTCAGCCTCCTCCCAGTCTTCCCCCTCTCCCCCTTCTCTCTAGAAATCACTTTGATTTATCATCAGGAACTGAGCATGTTCAAGACCCAGGCTTCTGCTTCAGCCCAGGCCAGTACTCTTTGTTTGAGGTGAAAGCCTTAAAATGTAGCTCCCTGGCCCTTGATTGGAAGTAATGTCAAGTAAATAAGCATGTTTTGATTTAAGTAGGGTAGCTTGGGATACCTTTAAGAAGACAAAACAAAACCAGATATAAAAATGTCTGGCAAGGTTAGAATCAGACTAGGTGATTTGCTTCTAAAAATTAGTTTCAGTGAGTCCCAGGGACTAATTAAGGTTTATTTTTAAAAGCGTCCACTTTGGTACGCAGCCACCTCCTGCATGCTGTGCATGTTATTGGGACTCGTATTACAGGGAATGGTATGTGAGGATCTAAGCAGGACTCAGTGCTGCCATTCTCCTTGTCTCTGGTCTTCGTCACTAGACCCAGCAACCCTTCACCACTCCCTGCCACCTTCCCTGCACCCTTAGTTTACAGAGGTAAATGGGCCTCTGGCCACAGAATATAAAGTGTCGGGCTGTTAGAGGAGTCCCCTCCTCTCTGCTCTTTCCTGTCCCTTCCTTGAATTCTACCCCCCATTAGTGATGCTGGGAAACTCATAGGACAGGCAAAGCAACTATTTAAAACCTTGTAACTGGGGCCTTGCCCCTCCTTCCCTCCCCTTCTTCCTTCCATCCTGCCCCTCCTTTCCTCTTCCTTCAATGCCCTCAACACCCATAAAGAATTTCCCTGTCACTGTGAACTTTGCTGGTGCAGAGGAACATCTGCCTTTACCTTTTTTTGGACCATAGCCACCCAGCTGTTTCTTAAACCTCTCTTCCCAAAATTTAAAAAAAAAAAAAAAAAAAAAAGCCTTATTGGCCTGGTTGTTCAAAGGATAAGAATAGCTTTATCCTACACTCAGTACCAAACCCACTTCAGTACCCTTAATGAGGCCATGAGAGCCTGAGGGGCATCTGCCCAGGAAAGGAGCCATGGCTTGTGGCAGAGACCAAACAGGGACCAGGAAAAAGGGGTGATGTCTCCTTGCCCCACCACCTCCTCCAACCTCTGTCAGCGATGAGCTACCCTGAACAGGGGGCAGGCACCTCACGCCCTGCACAATAGCTGGTCTGGGTTGAGTGCAGTCCTGGGGGCCAGGGCATGACATGCCCAGCTGTGTCAGCTCAAAGGATCTGTGCACATCTTAAAAGAGGTGAGAGGTAGGGAGAGGAGCACCAATGAGTTTTTTCCCCCAACCTTTTACAAATGGCATTTTGTTAATGGAAATCCGGGAAGCAGGTGTGATTACTTTTTTGCTCGTAGATATTGTCCTAAGTTGAAATTCTCCCATTGCCCTAAACTTTCCCTAGTAGACTTTTAAATCCCTACCCCCCCTTCTTTTTGGTAGCTGTTTCCTCCACCCCCTCACCACCTCCCCTCTTATCTAGGAGCTGTTTTTAAGCACGATTTTTTTTTAACAGTTTATATTGTACAGGATCAATATTTTGCTTTTTAACAAGGATATTTATGTAATAAGAAACTTTGCCTTAGGCAGGTGTTGGCCAGAAAAGTCCAGATTCCTCTGAGACCCCACCCTGGCCTCTCCTGAAGCTCTGAACCTGCTGTGGAAGGAACTGGCTGTGACCTTCACCACTGGAGAATAGGGTCTGTGGCAAGGAAAAGGGGTGTTCTGGTGTTGACAAGAGGATTCACCATGATGATCAGTGCCTTTCTGAAGGATTTAGAAGTATTCAGTCTAGTTTCTTTGGATGGAAGCTGACTTCCTTAGCCAGTTCTCCCCATATGCACCTCTCCACCTCAGTAATCGGCACTGGAACTCCTGGAACACCACTGCTCCTCATACGCCTCCCTCCCTCCCAGTGGTCAAGGCTTTGGAGCCACTCTTTCGTAATGCCAGATTATTTAAAGAGAGAAAAATACAAGACAAAACCTTCTAGCACTTTGTAAACACAGTGAATAACCTCTTGGAGTATTTTTGGCTTTATATAAAACAAGGTTTTTAATTGTAAAATATAAGTGCCATTAGAAAATGCACAGGGCGTATCTTTGTTAAAGTAGATTTTTCAATGTTTTACAGAATTACATTTTCAAAAAAAGTTTTTATAATGAAGTTGTTTATTAAAAACTTCTGAATGATGTGTTTGGAAGTTGTGAACCTGTCTGATTGGGAAAGGGTTGGAGAGAGCCTGGGGAAGAATTGGAATCGCCAGACATCTTTAGCATCCAATGGGATGGTGAGTGTAGGCAGATGGTAACAACCCTTCACATTAGCACCTACAAACATTGTACTTTGAAATGGAAGATCTTAATGGGATGTCTTTGAGGTAAGTGGCATCACATAATCTTGGATGCAAGTGTCAGAAAAATCAAATTGGCTTAAACAATGAAATTTCATATAACTCAAAATGCCAGATGTAGAGTGCTCTTTAGGTTAGGATTGATCCAGTGACTCAAACATGGTTGGCCTTAGCATTCCTATTTCTCTCTGCCCTATCTTGTGCAGTTGTGACGTCATCTTCAGGCCCCACAAAGTGGGGGCCCTTTGTGTAGGAGTAGAATGCTGCCACGATTCCACACCTGTCATTCTCACACAGTGCTGACTATGAAGAGAAAGGGACGCTTGTCAAGCTCTCTCAGGAGAGAGGAGTCCTTTTATTCACAGAAGCCCCAGTAAGCATCTCCTGTCTTATTGGCCTTGTTGGGGTTCTGTACCATCCCCAAACCAGTCACTATACGCCAGTGATGACAAGGCTGAGAACAAGGGGAGGAGTGGTTTCTCAAAGGGAATTTGGGGTACTGTTCATCCACTGCCCAAGGTGCACAGTTGGTAAGTGACAGAGCTAGGACCTGACCTTGCCCACGCTTGTGCCTACTCATTGGATTCAGACAGACTGTTGAGAGGCTGGCGTGACTTCACCTGACGTCATTGCTTGGTCAGTCTCTAACGAACGTGGTCATCACTATGCTGGGCCCCATCTCATACTGAGATCCTCCCATCCAGGGCTCAGACTGAGCTAACTTCTGTGGTCTGGCGCCAGCATCCATAGCCAAGCAGTGCAAGTCACTCTGGAGTCCAACCCCAGAATCCATGGGACATTAACAAGTGTTAATGTGTGTAACAGGTGTTTTGGGTACAAAGGCAGTGGGCTGGCTCTTCATCTCTTTGGCCTTCCATTTATTTGACAGATGTTCACTGTCCACCCCAATGGGTCAGATCCCAGCTAGGGCCCCACAGCAATCCACCTTGCCCTCTAGGGGGTGCATACCCTAGGATGGGTCTAGGGGCTCAGAGCTATCTTATTCATTGGATGGGAGGAGGCGGAAGGCTTTCTGTAGGAGGTGGCAAGGACTTCCAGGTGGGGGGGGTGGGGGGGTATGGGCATTAGGTGTATTGATTTCTATAGGCCACAAGTTTGGGAGCCGAGACCACAGAAGTGTGGATGCATTTGCAGGATCAGGGCTGCAGGAGCTGGTCCATCTTATCCTATCCAAGCACAGACCCTGTACTTCAGACTAGAGTTCACATTTGTGAAATGTCTGGTACAGGGGCCGGCCCGGTGGCGCAAGCGGTTAAGTGCACGCGCTCCGTTGCGGCGGCCCGGGGTTCGCTGGTTCGGATCCCGGGCGCGCACCCACGCACTGCTTGGCAAGCCATGCTGTGGCGGCGTCCCATATAAAGTGGAGGAAGATGGGCACAGATGTTAGCCCAGGGGCCGTCTTCCTCAGCAAAAGAAGAGGAGGATTGGCGGATGTTAGTTAGCACAGGGCTGATCTCCTCACCAAAAAAAAAAAAAAAAAAAAAAAAAAGAAATGGCTGGTACAGAGCAAGGGGTAGCCCCTGGGCCTAGGACAGGGTGAAGCAATGTCCACGTTTCAGCCTACTGGCCTAGGACAGTTCACCTCATGTGGAGGAAACTAGGCAGATGCCCACTTGCTCCCTGGTTGGCAGCGTTTGAGACCTCCCTTGTCCCAGATCCTTCTACTCCGATCTTGTTTCTTCCTTTCTTATAAATATTTGAGCACCTCCATGTGTCCGACAATTACCATCATCTGCGGCTCCCAGTTTGAGTCTGGTCAGTCTTTGCAAGGGATACCTCTTGAGTCCTCTGCGTACGGCTAATTTATCCTCTGCAAAGCCACAGTCGAGGGTGGGCGCTGAGCGGCTCCCACCTGGCTACCGCAGATGCGCAGATGCGGGGAAAAGTAATCGCCTGGCGTGGCGGCGGTGATGGACTATTCTCTCTGATCCGTGACCGGGGGTTGGGACTGATCCCTGGTGCCTGCTCGGAGCTGCTCCTTGTTGGTTCATCCCTGCACTTCACCCCACCTCCCCCGCCAGCGCCCTACTAATCTGGGGCCAGTTCTGTTTGGCGTCCACGGTCGCATCCCCCTGCCCCTCCGCCAAGCCTCCAGGCCCCTTGACCCCCGCAGTCGGGGGACCCTTGCGAATCACATCCGGAAGGGGGGGGCGCGAGGGGCGGAGCACGCCCCCCGGAGGAGGAGACCGCGTCTCCCCGCCTCCCGCCCGCGGTTGCAGCCAGCCGCCGAGCCGTCCCTCTCGCGGAACCCGCAGTGTCGCCCGCGCCCCGAGCCCCTCCAGGCCAGAGGCTCCTGCAGGTGATGGCGGACGAGGGTGCGAGGAGCCTAAAAACCGCTGCGTGCCCGCCGTCCGGCCCCGCGCAGGGAGGGGGAGCGCGCCCGGTCCCCGCGGCTGGGGCCCGTGAAGCCGGGGGACGCGGGCACCCCGACCCCGGGACGGCCCTGCCTGTCCCAGGGTGCTGGGAAGCGGCCTCTGCGGCGACTGACCGGAGCCCGGAAAACGGCTTTATCGGGAATGAGGACCCAGAAACCTGTGGCGCAGAGGGGTGGGGGGCTCGGGCTGGGGCCGGCGGGAAGGCCGAGGAAGTGACGACTGAGAAGGGCGCCATCTTCAAGGAGGAGGCAGAGGGGGAGGTGGAGAAGCAGCAAGTAGGGGAGGAGATGGAGGTGGTGGAGAAGCTGGTAGAGGAGGAGAAGCTGGAGGTGGGAGCGGAAGCGCAGGAGGGCCTGGGGCCCCTTAACCTTGATGGCCCAGTTGTGGACCCACTGGAGGCCATTCAGTGGGAGTTGGAGGCTGTGAGTGCCCAGGCGGATAGGGCCTACCTGCGACTCGAGCGCAGGTTTGGGCGCATGCGCCGTTTGCACCTAGCCCGTAGGAGCTTCATCATCCAGAATATTCCTGGCTTCTGGGTCACCGCCTTCCTGAACCACCCGCAGCTGTCAGCCATGATCAGCCCCCGAGATGAAGACATGCTCTGCTACCTGATGAATTTGGAGGTGAGGGAGCTCAGGCACGCCAGGACTGGCTGCAAGTTCAAGTTCCGCTTTTGGAGCAACCCCTACTTCCGGAACAAGGTGATCGTGAAGGAGTATGAGTGCAGATCCTCAGGCCGGGTAGTATCAATCGCAACTCGCATCCGATGGCACCGGGGCCAGGAACCCCCTGCTCTGGTACACAGGAACCGGGACACTGTCCGCAGCTTCTTCACCTGGTTCTCACAGCACAGCCTCCCAGAGGCTGACAGGGTTGCTCAGATTATTAAAGAGGACTTGTGGCCCAACCCCCTGCAATACTACCTGCTGGGGGATAGGCCCCACAGAGCCAGGCGAGGCCTAGCCAGGTGGCCCACAGAGGTGCCCGCTAGGCCCTACGGGTGCCAGTCTGGCTAAGTCCTGCCCTGGGACCTGGCCCCTACATAAGAGTCCCTTCTGCCTCCTGTGGACCTGTGCTTAGGCCAGTGATGGCACTCTGCTATCTGCTTTCTCTTCTGTGCACTCTGGCCACTCTGGACATTCAATGGACTCAGCTCCAAGATTGTGGCCTTCGTGGCCAAGCTCTTCTGTTTCCATGTGGCCTTCATGCATCACGTGACTGTCACTTGCCAGTGTCTACTCAAGCACCCAATGCTATGGACATGTACTGCCATTGTCTTCATGTCCAGGACCTATCTTTGATTATGGCCTTTCTGCTATTTTTGACATGGGTACCCACAAGTCATTGCTAGAAGGACCAGTGCCTCTTCGAGGCCCACTGCTTCGAGGCCACAACATGCTGGGCTTCATATTTATGCTGGCCCTGCACACTGGCTGTGGCGAGCCGAGTCTCATCACCCCAGATGAAATGGGTGCATTTGGTGCTGGCTGTCAACCTGACTTGGACATTCCAGGGCCTTGGACATTCACAGGCCACGCCACCCCAGGCTACTGGATTGTTGGGCACCTAGCAGAATGGGCATGCAGCCAGCAGAAGGCTTCTGGGCATGGGTGAGGTCAAGGACACAGAGAAGTGGGCAATGCATTCTTTGTGACCACTCTGCTCCTCTTACGGCTGCATTGGTCCTACCTTGCAGCCTGCTATCAGCTTGTGAAGGTCTGTACCGTGCCCTACCAACGTCTGGCCATTGCCCTTCTCGTGAATTTTGCCCGGGCTGCCACTAACCTTGTTACCTGCTCCCAGGTCTGTAAGGACCTCAAGAACTGCCTGTGGACACAAGTGGGCCACCTGCCAATGCACAAGAGAGCCCCCAAACCCCCAGGAACTCTGCTGCACTGGCATGTCTGGGTGTTTGCTCAAGGCAGGGCAATGACGGGGTCCCTTCCAGAATCCTACTTCCTTGAGCCCCAGTCACTGGACTCACACAGAATCCAGCTCCTCCTGTCTCCACCTGTTTTTAGGCTGCCAGATTGGAGGTGCTGGGGAGGGGGTGTTTCTGGTCATGGGGGCTGTCTACACCTTCCCAGTCGTCACATCTTTCTTTTTATTCTTTAAAGTGACAGCTCAGAAACAGAAAATAAACTGAAGAAGCAAGGTTCTTTACAGACAGCTGAGGAGATGGGCTTTCTTGTTGAATTTGCCTGTCTTTGACTGACTCCAGAGAGGGAGGTTGTCCCGTGCACCCAAGCTCTCTCTGCCTGCTCTGCTTCCATGCCCTGCCCGGTCAGCAAGGCCTAGAATCTTTAAGGGGGGATGGTGCCAGGCTGCTGAACAGAGAGACCAGGAGGTCTAGGTCCCCAGGGGCAGGGATAGTTCATTGTTTTGTGCTGTGTCCTTTTAGACTAACTTTGGCCCCAACTCTACTTTCTTCTTCCACCAGGTCCACACCCCCCATGGGATCCTGTAGGTACAAGAACCTAGCTGCCTCCACCAAGTCCCCCTCTGCCGGCTTTCAGGGCTGTCTCCATTTAATTTTGGAGGGTCACCATACCCAGGCCCCTTCCCATGGAAGGCCTTGTCTTCTGCTCCCCAGGACATGGAGAGACCTTGACACAAAATAAAGGGGCAGGTGCTCTCAGCAGGGGAGTGCAACAGAGCCAGAGCCAGCGGAAAGGCAGGAATGGCTGAGAGCCCGCAGGGTGGAGGGAGGAGAGCCCCCTGATTCTTCCTAACTTTTTTGATTCACCAATAGGTTTTTTAAATTAGAAGAACTGGGCCGGCCCCGTGGCTTAGCGGTTAAGTGCACGTGCTCCGCTACTGGCGGCCTGGGTTCGGATCCGGGGCGCGCACCGACGCACCGCTTCTCCGGCCATGCTGAGGCCGCGTCCCACATACAGCAACTAGAAGGATGTGCAACTACGACATACAACTGTCTACTGGGGCTTTGGGGGGAAAAAAAATAGAAGAACTAATAACAGAACACTACAACTTGAGAGGTCCTCTCGGTCCAGGTATAACCTTCTGTATGTAGAAAGTTAATGCTATATGTAATTTTTCATTTCGCTGCTTTTAAGTAAGACCCTAGGCATCCCCTTCTCCGTTTCTGCCCACTGGGCAAAGTGAGCTGTCCACGCCTGCTTATTGCTTTTCGCTTTTCGTTGAGAACATTTAAAAGAATGTCAATGTAATCTTTCTATGCCATTTGGAAACTTGTGTGGCTATTCATGATTGTAATCAAGTTGTTGTGGCCTGTTAATATAACCCTGTACTTAGAAGTAGTTTGAATAAGGTGGTTTTGTAGGACTTAGACTGGAAATTGTTACCACATTCCTCACGTGTTGTGAAGATAACCTGCAAAAAGAAATCTGTAACTCTGATGGTCTTGATTCTGAGCCCCAGTGGCCGTGTTGTAATTGACATCGCTGTAACTGACATCTCTGCTTCTAAACAGAGAAATGTTCATGAGGTGGCTTTGTCCAATTAGAAGAGGATTGATGGCACTTTTGTCTTCTATATGCACGATGAAGAAATAAAAACCTTTCAGTTTGGGGAAAAATAACTCAGAACATGTTATTCCCCCATCCTCCATTGGCAGGAAAAAATAAATCCTAATTCCTTATCATGGCTGACAAAGCCCAGCATTTTCTGGTCCCTGCCAACATCTCCCGTCAGTCCCCCACACTTGCCTCTCTGCTGCTCCTTAAACACACTTAGCACGTTCCAACCTCAGAGTTTTGGCACTTGCTTTTCTCTCTCTCGAGTTTTCTTCCTGCAGATATTCTCATCTCTGGCTCCCTCAGTTTGTTCAGGCGTCAGTCAAATGCTTCTTCAGAGGCCTTCCCTGCCCCGCCTGTCTAGAGTCATCCCCGAACCCTTTCTGTCTCTTCTCCCCTGCCCTCCGTGATTCTCTCCATGTCATCTGTGACTCTGAGATGATCTTGTTTTCTTACCTTCCTTCCCCTCCAAAATGTATCAGGAGTACAGGGACCTATCTGTCTGCTGCTTTGCCTCACGTGCACCTTAGAAGTTCCTTGTTTGAGTGAATGACTATCCAGAAGTGTCTGAGTGTTGTGCTGGGCCCTGACAGTGTGGATCCTGCCCAGAGGGTTTCAGCTGGGCACACAGGGTGGGGGCAATGAAGGGTGACCATGTAACTTGTCATCTAGCTGGAACACATCTGGGAGTGAAAGGGGCACTACTAATAATTACACCAGGATAAGAGGCCTAACTGGTATATAACGGTCACCTGAAAGAAACAGAACCCAGCTAAGTCCAGCCTGGCACACAGCTCATCCCAGCTGTGTGTGATGTGGGATCAGAGGGTGGAGGCTTCTCTGAAGTTGATGCTGGGCTGGGCTTTGAAGATTGGGCGGTACTTTGGAAAGTGGGACAGGAGAAGGGAATTCCTGCTTGAGCAAACAGCGTGACCAAAGGCACTGGGCTAGAAAACGTATGCTGTGTTCAGCGCACAGCATGTGCCCTAGGTGTGGCTGCCTGGGAGAAGCAAGGATCCAGGGGTACATTAAAGCCATTTTCTGGAAATAAGAACTCTGAATGCAAAGTTGAGGCATTATCCCGTGGATAATGGGGAGGGGTATCAGATGTGCTTCAGAGGTGGCAGAGCTCACAGGGCAGCTGGAGGCAAGAGGTGGGGAGTTGTCTGCAACGCTAGCTCTCTGGTATCTTCGGTTTGAATCTTATCCATATGTCCAGGCTGCAGCTCTTCCAGGAAGCCCTCCATGATTGGCCCAGTCCACAACAATCTCTGCCACCTCCCAAGTACAGCCTAGAACCCGAATTTTGGACACCAGTGCCTATCTGGACTGCACCCTCTGGGTTTCGCTTTTGTGCTAAACACCTGTCCCTGACACTCCCAGGGCAATCAGGATAAGCCTCAAAGCATCCTGGCAACCCTGGAAGCTGGTGCCTCCCATGGTTTGCCTGCCCTTCGCCTGGTAGTTGGCAGGTGCACTCTGGCTCCTGCAGCCCAAATTTGGGCCCAGCTGCATCCTTAGGCCCTAGACAATGGTGCTTACAAAACAGGTGCTTACCTGAGCTTTCTGCTGCGTGACCAGTGGCGTGCTTCCTTCACGCTGTGACTGACTCTGGCAAGGGGCCTTGGCAACCGTGTGTCCCAGCCACCCTTCTGGGGCATGAGTCTCATCCTCAGAACCCACTCCTGCTTGCTCACTCGTTCGGTCCTGAGTCTCGCACTTATTTATCCACCCGTCTTAGCACCCCCCCTCTGTACTGGGCACTGGGGGCACAAGATGACTCTATTCAGGTCTCTGCCTTCAGTGGGCTTAAGAGTCCGAGAGACTGAAAACAGTGATAATAACCACCGACATTTAGTGAGCACCTACTGTGTGCCAGGGGCTTGTACGGATACAGCAGCCAGACTGGCTCTCTAAACCTGAGTTGGGCCGCGTCCTTCCTCTGCTCCAGACTCCAACGGCTCTGATGGCCCGCAACAGGAAAAGCCAATGGGCTCCTCGCAGCCTGCGAGACCCTCAGGACCTGATCTCCTGTCACTTCTCTAACCTCATTTCCCATGCCTCTCCCCCTCGAGATCACTTTCCAGCAACACCGGCTCCGCTAGTCTTCCAGCCTGACTCACGACCGTGCTTGTTCTTCCCTCTGCCTGGAACCTTCTTCTCCAGGTACTGGTATGGCTGGCTCCTCGATTCATTAAGGTTTCTCAGCTCACCTGTTACAATTTCACCCCCTCTGGGAGGCATTCCCTCACCACCCTTTCTAAAAACACCCGGTCACTCTCCCTCCCCCTTCTCTGATTTGGATTTTGTTATACTACTTACAACCACCTGACATTATACTGTATATTCACTTATCCTTCTGCCTTTTTCTCTACACTTGTGGGGACTTTGTTTTATTCACTGCTGAATACCCCTTACCTAGAATAGCTCCTGGCACAGTTTGGGGCTCAGAAACTTTGTGAAATGAGTGAATGTTTCACATCCTCGAGGCTCAGGAGGGTCTTCCAGGTGGCAAGGGAAGACTATCTCTAGGGATAGGAACTCTGTATGGTCCAAGACAGTCCTTTTCCAGGCAGCCTCTGGAACTGAGGTGATGTCTCTGGGCCCACTCCTGGTCCCTCCTACAGAGAGATGGCCGCCTGGCTTACATATGCTCCAAGGGTGGAGGAAGGAGGTCAGGGTGAGGGGGCGCTTCCTGCTCTGGTGTGGAGAGCAAACATGAGGCTCTGACCCCAGGGTTTTGCTCACCTCTGCTCTCAAGGGTCTGCCCTGTTCTATTGGCCTGGGAAAGAACTTTGAACAAGTTCTTTTCAATCAGAAAAATCTGTCCAGAAACTATAGCAATTAGCTGTTACCTGTAACCACCCTGATTACAGCTTGGGGGACTTTGATATTTTCCTCCAAGGACACGATTTCAGCACAAAAATTCAAGGAAGTCTCTGGTATCTGCTTGTCCTTGCTCAGCAGAAGTAAATGTCGACTTGGGTTGGTGAACGTTGAGGGCCCCACCCCACAGGCCCCACCATCAGGGCTGACTCAGGATCTCAAGGGCACGGGGCCGTGGTGGAGCAGGCACCAGCTGGGAGGCTGATAGGCCTGCATGCTCTTGATTTCCCACTGTGTGGCCTTGGGCACATCTTTACACAGCTCTTAGCCTGTTTCTGATCTAAAGGAGAACTTGG